TCTACTCAATGCACGACCGAGATCCATTCCGAAATGGCAGAAATGTTTGAATTTTACACTTTTCTAATACTAAAATAGCCGCTATTCTGTCATCTTGTATCAGATTGTGAAACAAATGCATGTGCATATCTATGGCACGATGCATGATACAATGTATATTTATATATGTGTGTATGGTATACTTGTGATCGCTCTGAAATACAGGTGCATACGGATGGACGGTTTAAATCAAATCTTGTGCTGCATTCAAAACCACCCGGACTCCATTAGCACGTTTTGACTACGGTGCCCACAAATAAAAAACAAAATTCTAGTTTGCTGTATTACATTCGAATAGTTGTTGTGATTTGCTTCTCGCAACGGAAGATTGAACTACGGTATATTGTGAATGACCCAAGATTCCAATATGTAAATATGACGAGTGAAATGCTGAAAATGGTGTAAACTTAAGCTACAATTATTCTTTTACTTACACTGCTCTGAGCCTTCTGTTGCTTTTTGAGTCTCAAGTTTTCAGGCGTGTCGGCCACTGCTGTGAATTTTGTTGTCGGGTAGTGTCTATGAAAAAAAAAAAACATTTATGCACATATATTGTAATTCATTTTATCTCTGCTAAATTATAATATACGATTTCCCATTTTTTGTCATTCTTTGTGAGTGAGGATTGATATACAAACTAAACTAAACTTCTTTTTAGTAGTTAAGCGGGGTCATGACCTGCGCATGTGATGCGGCAGGCGGCTAAAACGTGTCATTGTATATAAATAAGCGTCTACCCATGATCCTTTGCTAAGTAGAGGTGACCAATATCGAACACAATGCGAAGAGACGACTCTCCGCCCCACCTAACGACTGAAGTAACTTTTGACCCTCAATGTTATTGAGAATCAAGATAGATAATGCAACAGCACATTGTTAGTTACTTCCTGGTAAAGAATGATCCCAAACAGCAATGCACGTCAAAATAAAAATTAATTAAAGGAAACATCAACCCAAACAACATAGTGACCCCTGAAAAAGAAGCTCTACAAATGTAGGAGAATGCAATTTACAGTTTTTTTATATCACTTTTCATTCTCTAGATATTCAACTTTTCATCAGTATTATGTAGTCAGCCATCTTGATTTTCACGCAAAGGAGTATGGGTAAAGTATGACATCACAGACTCTGTTGTCAGAAATTGAGAAAATGATTTCATCTATAACTTCAAAAGTTTAACCTTAAATTGGCTGAAAGTTTAGAGTTTGGTAGCATACATGTACTGGTGCCATCCATGTTTATAAAATAGTTGTCATGGAAACAGAACTGAGAATATTGATTTTTATGTTTTTCTACCAAATTCTCAAATTTCCTTATATTGTATACAATTTACCAATGTGAGTAGGTTATATAGGTGATGTATCACATGTTGACCACAAAAAGGGGACACAAAAGTGTCATTTTATATTTCACGACTAAAATATAAATTTTTATTTTTTTAACGTTTTTAGGAATATCTTCAGTTCATGTGTATTTGTAATATTCTAATTTCCATTACTATAATTATATACATGAGTAATATGCACAACAACAATTTGAACTAATTCGCATCAGTATTTCTTATGTTATAGATGAAATAATTTTCTCAATTTTTGACAACAGATTCTATGATGTCATACTTTACCCATAATCCTTTGCTTGAGAATCAAGATGGCTGACTACATAATAATGATATAAAGTTGAATATCTAGAGAATGAAAAGTGATATAAAAAAATTGTAAATTGCATTCTCCTACATTTGTGGACCTTTTTCTTCAGGGGTCATTATGTTGTTTAGATTGATGTTTCCTTTAATTCTCTTATTTTAGTTCATTCTAATTCTCGATTTCCGTCAGACACGATGTAATTCCATTTGCGCATGCGTAATCTACCAGACAATGGGCGAGGGTCGGGCAGATTTATAAAAAGTGGAAAAAGAAAAATAGACATGCCGAAAGAAGTCAGTGGCACATTTCAAACAGCGACGTGAATATGGGTGGCTACAAAAGGGACAGCTACAAGAATTATATAATACGGCTGAAAAAAGTGGATTATCAGTTAAAAAAAAAATTTTTTTTGCAGAGAAAATTAATGAAAAAGAGATGGTACGTGTGTGTTTCGCTGAGTAACTATGATCTTGATAATGTTTAACTCCCAAAATATCCACCAAAATATGAAAGTAGGCTAAACAGTGAGTACATTTTTATAGGCTGAAACGAATTAGTTGAAAGATGTTGGCCCATTTATGTGAGGTGACAATGGTTACGCGTCATCTTATTTTGGTTCAGAATTCAGCGAGCAGTTCCACTGATTATTATATTTGTAGAGTGTATAAATAAACAAACAAACATACATACACAGAAAAATACACATACATGGATTTAGATGCGCGTGCGCGTACACGTTTAGTTGTGGTTTAAAGCCCATCCGTGTCACGTAATTTAAAAATCACAGCACCCATATTTAACGGACACGATAGATTGAAATTATACTGAATGAATAAATGAAAAATGTAATGAAATTATACTTTTTTTTAAAAAATCAACTCAGAACAGAAAATGATTCATCAGGCACGTGGCGTTTACGATTTGAACTCAATTTTTAGCAGTCTAACACGTACTATGACAACATTGTCGATTATGATTGACCCAACCAAGGATGTTATAGCAACGATAAATTACGTTACATTTTATTAGTCACAACTAACTAGCATTCAGGCTGTCTCAGCTAATCATAAAAAAAATATTATTCATATCCGCTCCAAACTGGTAACCGATAAAAGGACACATAATACAGCAGCTAAGAAAACACGGAAGTAAGTCGTGATCCTGTGTCATGTCGATTACAGAGGTTAAGAACTAATCATATGCTGTAGTGTGTTACATGCATGGCAGTTCTAGTGATAATGCCACCCATAGTGGATGTTTTAATAAAAGAAACCATTTTCTACAATTTATAACATTATATTTTAACTTCGTAAATTGTGCTTTAAAAATTACCCCCCACCCACACATATTTTCAGTGTTCCAGAAATGCAAATAATTGGATAATTTCTTTAATCTTTCACTTCATCATTTTGCGACCCGTACTTGTCAAATACTGGTATGACCCGTAAGTGAGTGACCGGCAAAATAACCGCCGGTCAGTCTCCCGTAAACAAGTAATGGATAAAGCGATATCTTTGATGGTGTGGCCAGGTTATGATTTTTCAATCGAGTAGTCTTGATGTTGGTTATGTATCGGTTTGTTGTTGTTGTTGTTGTTGTTGTTGTTGTCTCGGTATTCTATGCAAGCAACCTCAGCTAACATTATTGGTCCACCCCTAAGCCATCCATGCATAGTGACG